TGATTGGCTCAGCTCACACATATATGTGATTGGCTCAGCTCACACATATATGTGATTGGCTCAGCTCATACATACATGTGATTGGCTCAGCTCATACATATATGTGATTGGCTCAGCTCATACATACATGTGATTGGCTCAGCTCATACATACATGTGATTGGCTCAGCTTACACATATATGTGATTGGCTCAGCTCACACATACATGTGATTGGCTCAGCTCACATATACATGTGATTGGTTCAGCTCACACATACATGTGATTGGTTCAGCTCACACATACATATTATTGGCTCAGCTCACACATACGCGTGATTGGCTTAGCTCACACATATATGTGATTGGCTCAGCTCACACATACATGTGATTGTCTCAGCTCATACATACATGTGATTGGCTCAGCTCACACATACATGTGATTGGCTCAGCTCACATATACATGTGATTGGTTCAGCTCACATATACATGTGATTAGCTCAGCTCACACATACATGTGATTGGCTCAGCTCACATATACATGTGATTGGTTCAGCTCACATATACATGTGATTGGCTCAGCTCACACATACATGTGTTTGGTTCAGCTCACATATACATGTGATTGGCTCAGCTCACACATACATGTGATTGGTTCAGCTCACATATACATGTGATTGGCTCAGCTCACACATACATGTGATTGGTTCAGCTCACATATACATGTGATTGGTTCAGCTCACACATACATGTGATTGGTTCAGCTCACACATACATATTATTGGCTCAGCTCACACATACGCGTGATTGGCTCAGCTCACACATATATGTGATTGGCTCAGCTCACACATATATGTGATTGGCTCAGCTCATACATACATGTGATTGGCTCAGCTTACACATATATGTGATTGGCTCAGCTCACACATACATGTGATTGGCTCAGCTCACATATACATGTGATTGGTTCAGCTCACACATACATGTGATTGGTTTAGCTCACACATACATATTATTGGCTCAGCTCACACATACGCGTGATTGGCTCAGCTCACACATATATGTGATTGGCTCAGCTCACACATATATGTGATTGGCTCAGCTCATACATACATGTGATTGGCTCAGCTCATACATACATGTGATTGGCTCAGCTTACACATATATGTGATTGGCTCAGCTTACACATACATATAACTGGCTCAGCTCACAGATATATGTGATTGGCTCAACTCATACATATAATTGGCTAAGCTCACACATACATGTCACGATTGGCTCAGCTCACACATATATGTGATTGGCTCAGCTCACACATACATATTATTGGCTCAACTCACACATACGCGTGATTGGCTCAGCTCACACATATATGTGATTGGCTCAGCTCACACATATATGTGATTGGCTCAGCTCATACATACATGTGATTGGCTCAGCTCATACATATATGTGATTGGCTCAGCTCATACATACATGTGATTGGCTCAGCTCATACATACATGTGATTGGCTCAGCTTACACATATATGTGATTGGCTCAGCTCACACATACATGTGATTGGCTCAGCTCACATATACATGTGATTGGTTCAGCTCATACATTCATGTGATTGGGTCAGCTCACACATACATATTATTGGCTCAGCTCACACATACGCGTGATTGGCTTAGCTCACACATATATGTGATTGGCTCAGCTCACACATACATGTGATTGTCTCAGCTCATACATACATGTGATTGGCTCAGCTCACACATACATGTGATTGGCTCAGCTCACATATACATGTGATTGGTTCAGCTCACATATACATGTGATTAGCTCAGCTCACACATACATGTGATTGGCTCAGCTCACATATACATGTGATTGGTTCAGCTCACATATACATGTGATTGGCTCAGCTCACACATACATGTGTTTGGTTCAGCTCACATATACATGTGATTGGCTCAGCTCACACATACATGTGATTGGTTCAGCTCACATATACATGTGATTGGCTCAGCTCACACATACATGTGATTGGTTCAGCTCACATATACATGTGATTGGTTCAGCTCACACATACATGTGATTGGTTCAGCTCACACATACATATTATTGGCTCAGCTCACACATACGCGTGATTGGCTCAGCTCACACATATATGTGATTGGCTCAGCTCACACATATATGTGATTGGCTCAGCTCATACATACATGTGATTGGCTCAGCTTACACATATATGTGATTGGCTCAGCTCACACATACATGTGATTGGCTCAGCTCACATATACATGTGATTGGTTCAGCTCACACATACATGTGATTGGTTCAGCTCACACATACATATTATTGGCTCAGCTCACACATACGCGTGATTGGCTCAGCTCACACATATATGTGATTGGCTCAGCTCACACATATATGTGATTGGCTCAGCTCATACATACATGTGATTGGCTCAGCTCATACATACATGTGATTGGCTCAGCTTACACATATATGTGATTGGCTCAGCTTACACATACATATAACTGGCTCAGCTCACAGATATATGTGATTGGCTCAACTTATACATATAATTGGCTAAGCTCACACATACATGTCACGATTGGCTCAGCTCACACATATATGTGATTGGCTCAGCTTACACATACATATAATTGGCTAAGCTCACACATATATGTGATTGGCTAAGCTCACACATACATGTGATTGGCTCAGCTCACACATATATTATTGGCTCAGCTCACACATACATAATAA